TTTGGATAGGTGACTATTTCAGGAACAGAACAGCCAAATTCAGATTCCAAGGTCACCTATCACAGCACAGCCACTAGAAAATAGAACACCACAGGGTGGGGTTCAGTCCAACCATATTCATCACCCTAATGTCCTGTATCCTCAACATACACCTCACAATGGGGTGCAAGATCATATCCTATGTAGACAATCTTGCAATCACCTCCACTGGACCATACTGCCTAAATAAAGCCCAGCGTTGTCTGGACCTTGTATCTGAAGAGTGTTGTACGACAGGACTAAAGATCTCTACAGCCAAATAAAAAGCCATGGCTCTGACACACCATGTTCAAGGCACAAGTTTGAAAATCCAGGGAATGGACTTGGTTGACTGAACCAAAACAAGACCATTGTGGAATATGCCTCTGTCACTCTGATTGCCAAATCGAATACACTTCAAAATAGATCTGTCAGGATCATTCTTGGTGCCCCAAAGTGGACGAAGGGTCTCAACCTCTTCATGGAGGCAAACCTTCTCCCCTTGGTCTCACAAATTGATCTAATAGCAACACAATTCTTTTCAAAGGTCATCCAGGCTCACAGGAACACAAGCCTAAGACAAAAAATACTCAGACACCTAGAACAAGACCACGAGCTCTTTGCAAACAACTCCTGGCTGTCTTACACAGCCAGGGTGTTGATACGCTATCACCTCAAAGAACAACTACTTGCTCCTCTCACCCAGATTTTATCGAAGCCCCGCTATGGGCACAAACCTTGATAGAGTTCTCTGTTACGAGCCTGTCAAGGAGAAAGAATCAATACTCCATACCTAGTCTAAAGGCAGAAGCCGAGAGGGTCATTGCAGCCATCACTCCTCCAGGTAGTAGAACCTACTTCACAGATGGATCAGTCAATCCCTTGAGCCACACTGCAGGCGCCGGCTTTGCAGCAAGGGATGCCACAAAATCTATGAGGGTAATAGACAACGCCTCCTCGCTACAGGCAGAGGTAGTTGCGATTATGGGAGTCTTAGCCCACATGTCCCTGAGGGAAGGACATGTGGTCATACATACAGACTCCAGGGCAGCTAATAACTGTCTTCAACACAGCTCACCCAAAGACAATATCTACCTCCTGACCACTGTGCTTACCTTAGTGCAAAGAATTCTTGTTCTTAGTAAAAGAATAATCATTACCTAAGTCCCCAGCCATATTGGCATCAGAGGGAATGAGCTTGCTGACAGACTATCTGATACTGGCAAGAGTATGCTCGCAAATCATACAGCCGAGCCAAAAAAAATTAAGCGAGTAGTGTATTGCGGCAGCTCGTACCTTGCTCCTGCAACTTCACAGAGAGAAAACGAGATCCTCCCCCTCGGCCAGATGGTACTCAGACGCCACTGGCACTCTCTGAAGTAATCAACAGAGGTACCGAAGTCATTCTTCACAGAATCATACTAAGTTACCTCTGTCCATGGCAGATCATAGAGATAATAAACCATGAAGACAGGTGTTGCATGCATTGTGGCAAGCCAAACGCCACCCTGGTACACTACTTGGTGAATTGTGAGCACACACAATTTCTGAGACAGGGACTGCCCACAACAGCAGCCGTGCTGGTAAAGAGATTATGCGGTATGCTTACATCATGGCGGCAATCCCGCCACCACGGTAAGCATCGAGTGTTGGAGAACACAATGAGACAGCCATAAATAGCTGAAATAGGCCAGGTCATATATGGAAGGCACGAGCGAAGCCAGATATTCGCAAATCTCAACTGTATTGTAACCGAGAATACAGTTCCCAGGTTGAGTCGCACAATGTCCACAGCCATGTCTTTGTGCATTGGACAGTAGGGTCCTTTCATTCCCTGCACAGTTACACAGCATTCGCCACACGTGGCAAGAATAGATGCCATACCCACTTTGATACACGTTTATTTATTATTTAAACATAGCCATTTATCAAGAACTACCTATTTCACCTGTTTACCCTTTTCCTTTACTTTAGGAGTTTTTTTTTTATCATATCATTGTGTAAAATATTCTAATGACAATTCAATAATCATAGCATCAATAACAAAAATAACAGTATCGAAAGCAATGGTATTGATTTTCCCGCCAATTCAATGAATGGGAAAATCAGGGTCGGTAACTAGGGCCTACTGATAGACTCATTGCCGGATGAGCACATGTGGAGCCACCTGTATGTAACAAAATTCATCAAAAACTACAGGGGACAGAACATAAATCCGTGACGAATGGGTTAAGCCACAGAATCCAGAACCGAGATCAGCATTCCCCAATCCTCCAGTAGAACACAACAGCAGCAGCAACAAGAGGACTGCCTAGTCCTTAGCCGACTGGGGAGCCAACTAGCCCTCCCCGTTGATCCCCACTTCATCTTCCGCACCAATCCATACCTCTGGGCACTCATACCCACAACAATCAATTCTGTCGTTGTTGTTCCAGCGTGATCCTTCATGTGTGTTCCTTTGAGATCTTGATCTTTGACTGAC